AAAAGTTAGTTTATATTCTTTTTTGTATAATATAAGATTACTGCCTTTACCGTTATTGGTTCAGTATTATTGGATGATTTTCACTTTATGTAGTGGTTCATCTTGCTCTGAATAATTATACGTACAGTATATATTAACTTTTAAAATTACTTAATACAATATTATATACAATAAGTAAAATTTAAATTTTATTAAATACAATGATTTTCGTTACGTATAAGAAACTCCTACTATAATAAAATTAAGGTAAATCTGTTCGATACAGTATAATAAACTTTATAATTCTACTCACTTGATTGGGTGGTTAGTAAAGTTTTCTTTATGTCAGAAATACCTTTTTTTATACCAAGTTTATATCAAGTTTCACTTCCACACTGTATTTGAAACAAATCAATTAAAAAAAGTAGAAATTAAACATCTCCATTATACTTAGTAAAAAATATATATATATATATATAAGTTATATACATTTTTTACTTTAATAAATTTGATAACCTATAAACACATTTTTGAAAAACAATTATCGTTAATGCTCCCCTAATGGTATAATGAAAAACCGATCGTACATTTACTATTAATAATTTGTAGTGAATAATGTTTCCAAATTTCACTTAAACGGATCTCCTTAATGCATTAGGTAAGTAATTACACATTAACTTATTATTGGATTAAACAAGAAATAAAGAGCGGATATTGAATTATATTGAATTATATTGAATTTTATTATGGATGTCAAATATTGGTCCCTTCAATGATTAATTCTATGATTTGTTACGTAATACTATCTGCACTGTCGTGTAACCCAAGACATTCACCAAACAGTGGTATCACGTGTTAAGATTATGCCTTGTGTCCTTTTAATTGGTTCAGATTAGTTTTGTCTTTCTAACATATAAGTATATCAAATATACGTGAATTTTAATTATAAACTTAAAGACTATAGTGAAAGAGAAGTAAAAAGTTCAAGTCTGTCCCAATGATCATAAAAAAGGGGATAATTTAAATCTAAAATATATTTTCGGTAAATATTTTTTCAAGTTTTATTTAGTAAAATTATTTGTTTTATATGTGAGTGATAGAGTAGTGAATTCGGCCGAAGTTTCCTCTCAACCTTTTCAGGTAGATTATTTTAAAATATTGAAAAATACTCGGCAAAGCGATGAACTTTACTGAAAGGGGGAATTTTTTTTTATTGAAAAAAGGAATACTGTAGAATAATATATATATACATATATTTTTTTCTTTTACTCGTTTTTTTTTCAACCTCTAATTTTTTGGTCACCGAATTCTTCAAGATCTCTTCCACTATATATATCTACACATATATACTCTGTAGTCATAAATAGTGTTCCAAGTGACACTATGGACAAAGAGCTCCGGAGACCATTCACTTCACGTTCCCTTCCAGGTGAACGTATTACTCCAAGTAGTCTACCTGCCTCTCTATCTACCCCTATAACTTTTCATTCACAAAATTCCGCTTTAATGGCTCCAACTGTGCAACAAGCTATCTGTCCCGAAGATCATTTCGCTAAACACAGGAGAACTCGTCGAAGTCTTTCTACTTCTTCTTCTAGTCAAAGTTTACTCAAAAGAAGTTTATCTTATAAACCTCGATCTCAATCAAATACGTCCCCGGCTACTGAGAGTGACGCAAGTAATAGGTCTTCATTTGAAGACTTTGATTATTCAACTCCTGGTACTCCTTATACTAGTCCAACTTCTGGTTTGAATTCTGGTTCAAATTCGAGCTGCAGTTCTTTGAACAATTTATATTTTACTTCTTTATCGCCAGGTGGCGCAAGTCATCATGCTTTTCCTTTTTATCAAAGAGAAAGGCATCATTCGTTATTTGTATTATCCGGAAAATCTACCAGTCAAAAATTTCATCAATCTTTAACTTCTCCGACTTCATCTCAATCTCAGCAACAATCTCAACTATCTCAATCTTCGCTTTCATCACAACAACAACAACAACAACATATTAATAATATTATTAATAGTAACCTTTCTTGTTTTCCTTCTATTCCTTCTCCAGTTACAACTTCTTCACGTCGTTCTAGTAGCGTAAATTCCCAATTTAAACGTTTATTAAATTTAAAATCTTATCCTTCAAGTAGTACTTTATATTCTGATTCTGAGACTGATTCTTTAGAAACTGATTCTGATGCTTATGTTACAAATGATGAACAATCTTCCATTGCTTATTCTTCTTCTGTAAGGCGTAAACCTTCTTTTCAAAAATCTCCTGCTATTCGTTTTTTTCCTGATTTATCTGTCGACGCTGAAGAAAATCGTCTTAGTAATTTACATATTATTGATGAAGGTACTCCTGATTTTACTTATCCAAAAGTTAAACGAAAACTTTTTAAAGACCTCGAAGAAACAAAACGTCGTGCTGATAAAAGTATTGAGAATTTATTAGATCATTGGTATAAGTCTTATCAATATCAAGAACTTTTAGGTGAACTTTTATATGTTGATGAGGGTAACGATTTTTATAGTAATGATAATAAACGGGTATCTTTTCATTCTCAAAAGAATAGTAATCAAAAAGTTTTGGGTAAAACTGTGGTCATTAGTGATACAGATGATGAGACTTTTCCTCCTTATAAATCTTTATTGGAAAATAAATCAAAAACAAATAATGAACTTTCTAAAAATAAATTTACTAATAAAATGGAATCTATATCATTACATGGTGATAATAAACCAAGGAATATTCTTCCAAAGAGAAAAAATTCTGAAAAAAGAATGATACGTTCTTATAGTTGGCCTCCTACAATTTTAAGTATGTTTATCTAATTTTAATTTTAATTATTATTATTTTAATTTAATTTATTTATTTTTTTTTTAATGATTTTTATATATATATATTCACTTTTATTCTTTGATTTTTATTTATTCCTAGCTTCATCTCATACGCATCTATTGACGCGAATTGATTGTATTGCACGTCGTATTCTTAAGACTGCTGTTAATGATTTAATACATTATAATGTTGCTGTCGAAATCATGAAAGAACTTCAAGAACTAATGGAGTCACAAAGAAAGATGGCTGTTGGTAATGCCGATGCTGAAGAATTGTTGACAAGATTAGTTTATGTTTTTGCGGATGTAGCAAGAGCCGTTGAGGCTGTGGTAATGTTTTCAATTTTTTTATAAATTGCATTGTTTTGGGGTTTTTTTTTTTTTTTTTCTTTAAACTTAATTAAATTTTTCATTTAAATATAGAAACATTCTTTTGCTGAAACAAATCCTGAACTTTCAGGAGATGGTGTAATAAAAGATGATTTATTGACATCTGGTCATGAATGGTTATTACCTTCACCATTATCATCTCCATCACTTCCTTTAACTCCTTCCTCATACTCCCCACCACGAACATTATTTCAAATACAAGAACGACGTAAATCTTCTGCTGAATTTGATGGAAAATCAAATTCACCTTTACCTCCTACATTTTCATCTCCATTGGCTCGTCATGTTTTGATGCCCCCAAAAATACATGCAAAAGATTCTCTTGAAAGACATCGTGAATTTGCTATGGAAGCTGTATTTGAGAGTCCAATAATGTATGTCCCTCCTCCAACAAATATGGAAGAACTTTTTACTTATAGTATAACAAGAAAACAAGTAGATCAAATGATTCATGAAGAAATGAATAGGGAAATTGATTATGGTATAATATTGAAAAAGCAACAAGATGTGGATTCAGAATCGAAAAAAAAAT